CCCATCCTTTCCTCTTAAGAAAAAAGGTGGAAAGGGAAAGGGACTAAAATTAGGCCTCCGGCACCACACTCATCAGACGAAACACGGAATTGCTTCCATTTCACACGTGTTTTCTGCGTGGTCGTGGTATTACACCGGGCGAGCCGACCCATTCCTGCGAAGATATTTAAGCGGGCTCTAACACTGTTATGCGGGAAAATTACGAAAAATACAAAGCCAATAGCAGTAAAAAAGCAAGGTTGCCATGGTTACTTAAATTCTCAGCCAGCAAGGCCTTTGTTGTCATTGAACCATTTGAATTTATTTGTAAATGAAAGTTTTACGAAATGTTAACGATGAAATAAAAAAAAAGATATGTTTAGAAAACAGAGTTGACACTTCACTTGAGACATTTTTCACATAATCCACTGTCACTCCATATGTCCTCAAAACCACATGGTAATGTAATTAATAATTCAAATGTTTATATTTTATTTTTTAAATTATCTTATAACGAAAGATGGAGCTTGTCATAATTCTAAAAAATGTATAAGAACATGGACATGAACTAAACTTGACAACTAATATAGTACCTTTAAAGAAGTTACCGGTGAAAAAATGTTGTTCCCTATGGCTATAGTTTGTCTAAATAATTTAGATTAGTTTGACAATTCATTTCAAATTTAGTAGGGATGGGTTGTGTGAAATCAGTCATGAATCTTATCGATTTTCGATTTTTATTCTTATAGAAGTTGGAATCGACAGATTTATAGTTATAACTTATGATATAAAAAAAAAACACTGTTTTCTCACATTAAAAATCACCATAACAAATAATGAGAGTAAATAAATGTCTATTACTACTACAGCCGTACGTAATCGAATTGGATTTCGCTATTATTTCTGTCATCGCTAAATTCTCTATATTATAATCAATACTAGAATTGTCCTATAAATTATAGTTGAGTTTGATAATTATTTAAACCGAATATCGATAGTTCAAAATTGTTCGCTGCGTGTTTCGTCACTACGATACCTGTCTATTAAGTATGACATTTGACCTTCATATAAATTGAATTCGGTACTTCATATGCGTCATTTATCAAACTAATCTAAATTATTTAGACACACTATAGTTTATATTTCTTTGAATAAAATATAGTGTTACGATATGCTGATGAAATAGCAAGGAAAAATCTAGTGGGAAATTGTAAAATTTTTGAAATAAGCATAAAAAAACTACAATTTAAGAAAGATAAAAGAGGAATTGTGACATTTACCTCAGCTTTATCGAGATGCGCGCGGCGACGGGCCAGCGTGCGCGCCATCTCGTGCATCATGCAGTGCAGCGTGCCGGCCGCGCGCCCAGACCCTGACGAGGAGGAGGAGCCCGAGTGCTCCGCGCCCCCCGGCGGCGACGAGTCTGCGGGGGCCGCTTGCTGGAATATACAGTTTTAACAGTGGTAGTGCCCGCTTTAACATCTTAGCACTGCAGGGCTCGCCCCCAACAATACCACGACCACACAAGACAGGCGTGAAGTGGAAGCAATTCCGCGTAGTCTGATGAGTGTGGTGCCAGAGGCCTAATTTTAGTCCCTTGCCCTTTTCAACCTTTTCTTTAGTAAGGAAAAGTGGATTTGATTGTGGAGATGCATAGGAAGGGGATATTTCCACTTCCTATGCGTCTCCTGCACCGTAAATCCACGTTCCCTTCCCATCTATTTCTTATAAGAAAAGGGACTAAAGTTGAGACTAAAGTCGTCTGCGTGAAATTAAAAAAATAATAAAAAATATAGCTTATGTTACTCACTGATAATGTTACTTTTCAATGGTGTAAGATTTTCTTAAATTGGAATTTCTTTTTGGAAGTTTTTGAATTATTTCAGTACAAAAAATACAAATCTTTTCACCTTATAATCTTACTTCTTACTAATATTATAAATCCGAAAGTTTGAATGGATGGATGGATATTTCTTAGGGTTTGTAGCTTAAATTACTGAACAAATCTCGATTAAATTTGGTACGGATATAGAGAATTATCTGGAAAATATTTTTTTTAATTCCACGCGAAAGGAATCGAGGGTAAAAGTTATAGACGGGCGAAATC